TGTCAGCTGTTCCTTCTTGCCACTGCTGACTGGATAATCACTGGCTTTTTGAACCCATTAGCCTGCAATTAATTGACAAATAGACAGGGTGGCTGGCAAACACCAGTGACTTTGCAGCAGCACCCTACCAGCAGTTACCCTCTATTTCTACAGCAGCAGCAGCAGCAGCCAGCTACACACCTGCTACACACCGTGTTTGAAGACAAACAACTCCACCACCAGTTTGGACCCAGATGCTGAAACACTGGTACCCAGCAGTACTTCAGCTGCCCCAGACAAAGTGACATCCAACCCCACAGAACCTTTGCGTCCTATCTGCCAGATCCACGCCGGGACCTCAGAGAGGCCACTGAGCTGACATGGCACTAGATGCTGTTTTGAAAAACACGAGCTGCTCGTGTTTTGAAGTGGCATACCGACCCTTGCGCAAAGTCCATCTCCTGCATCACATGAGTTTGAGCTCAGGCTCAGCAAAAGACTCCGGCCACTGAACAGCTCATTTCCCTCCTGACAAACCCCTTTTTCCAGGATAGAAGTTAGTCTGTGGTAATTTCTTTCTAGCTGGGGAAAACACTTTTTTTGCCACTATTATAATCTGACACAGAAGGCGAACAAAGAAGGTAAGCAAATCCCACTTTCAAAATGGAGTCCACCCTGTAACGTACAGAGAAACCCAGTTCCCTACTGTGATCGTGAACACAATAAAGTTCTCCATGCCATAACAGTTGCTTAAAATGACATGCCTACAGACTGTATCTTGGCAGACTGGAGATGTAGGTCTGGTCTACATTTAAGATATGCTAACATGCTTATGGCTATATAGGAATTAATTTTTTCCATGCCAGCAAAAGCCCTAGAAAAGACATAATTACACTGGCCAAAAAAGAGAGAGACAGAGAGACGGAAAGAAACAGAAAAGTAGACAGATCTTTTGGGGCAACCAGATTAAACTGGGTCCAAACAATGTTTCAAAAAAACCCACGAATATAACCTATCTCTTTCTCAGAGTTTTTAAAGACAAAATCACCATTTTCAAATACAGAGCTGAAAAAAATTATGTCCATAACAGGACACATTAAGCAATGACGTCTATGTCTCCTCCCACAGCTCTAGCCATAGGGAGCAAAATCTTACAAGGAAAAAAAGAATTTAAAATCCCTTGCTTGCTATTTTAAATATACCCTCAATTTAAGGTCAGAGAAGGCAAGCCAATCCAGGAATCAGCATTCACCAAGAACTTGATTACAATCGGCAAATGAAGTAAAGGAAAAATGAACCCCAAGGAAAAGAACTTAAAACGAGGTGGGGACAGCGGGGCACAAAACCCACCAAAACCACACAGGATCTAAAACCGTAAGAGAGAGGAGAAATCTTAGCTCTTCTTCACTTTGCTTTAATGAAGGTCATGATATCACATACTTTCATTTCTTGACACAGCTATAAAAGAATGTAAAGAAAAAAATTGCCATGAAAAATAGGGCATTTTGATTTCTCAACAGCCAAAACTTCATGATACATTTTTAAAAGGGGTCACTTTTTCTCAAAATATTAAATGGTTTTTCCTCACTCCCTCCAAATGCAGGTAATTTTCTTAATAATTTTCACCTTTGCACTGTTGAACATAATGGGACAAATAATACATGATGCACAAATAAGTCATAATGTGCTGTGCAAGTTAATAGGAGCAGTGAGATGCTGGATGTGTGATAAATCTAGACCTGAAAGCGAAATATGCCTCCTAATTAAAAATCAATTATTAAAAACAGTAAAGAATGAAAAAGAAAAAAGGCTCGCTCACCAAACTCATAATGAAATCCTGGAAACTTTGGACTTACTTGAAAAGCAGAAAGAAACCTTCGACATCTATATTTAACTAAAGATTCTTCTAAGACTCTATTGTGGATTTTTCAATTTTATGATTAAACAGTTCTGTGAAAAATTGTTTCTGGTATCTTTTGTACTTTTATCTCTTCATTCCAACTGGTCACAAAAATGAATAGACAGCATTTAAATGGGGAATGCAAGAACAAATCATTACTCTGGCTCTGGGAAATCAAAGTACACGGATGCCCTGATGTGGCTCCAAGGTGACGCAGGGACGATAAGCAGCCACCCAGAAACACCAGCACCTAAACTTACAACCAAGTGCGTTGTTTACCGACAACATCACCCACTGGGTTCCTCAACAGTTCTCCTCCAGAAGATGGTTTTAACATACTTGTTGAGTAATTCACAAACATTAGATCAGGGTGTTCAGATAACTATTTTCAACTAATTTTTGTTCAATTCTGGGAAGATTTCAAAGACAGAACAGCTGAAAAGTAGCTCAAAATAACAAAACCTTTTGCGCGAGCTTGGACAAGTGGAAATTTCTGGTTTTCATTTTCTGTAAAACTAAGATACGTATTCGTACCCCCAGCAGTGACAGGGAGATTAAATTAGTAAGCGTTACTGAAGAGATCTGAATCCCATTATTGGAGAAACTACATTGGTATTATGCATTATCATCAATATTCAGCATCTGCAATCAAAAGAAGGCTTTGGTGTTTACGTATATAATAAAGTTTTAATAATTCACTAGCAATATTTCACGCAGAGTGCTGCCGCCACTTCTTTCTGGAAAAAAGAAAAAATATATCCAGAATTTAAAATCCTAAACCATTCAGTTGGAAATGAACTGATTTTGCCTACACAGAAAAGCACATTGCCAGTAACAAGTCATTTTTCCAAGGGGCAGGGGCTCTGGCCTTCACCTGCGTGCAGCAGGCAGGTGGGCCAGCCAGGGGTGCCTCCATCTTGTGCTCCCCTGAGCAAGCTCCAGCCTGCAGACCCTGCGCACCCTTCCCTTCTCTGAAAGGACGCAGCCGACACCCAAGGACGGAGCCACAGACACCCCATGGTGGCTGCCCTAACTCAGGAGTACTTCGGCAACAAAATTCTCAAGATTTTTCCTCAAAAGAATCAGGAAACCTAAGCGAGCGCACTCTGAGGGCACGTCAGCCCAGGGCAGCTCGTGGCACCTTCAGAGCACAAGCGCAGCCCCTCAACCATCAGCAGTCAAACTCTAAGCCATAGAATAGTCAATTTTGGTATTTTACCTGCATCACAAGCGAGGAGGTGTGCTGTCATCCTTCCACCGGAGACTGAAGGATCTGGGATTGTGTTTCGCAGCCACGGGGGCTGCAGGGAGACCTCCTCTGTGGGAGGCCATCAGGGCTGCCTGGTGCCACCCGCAGCCAGGTCCCCAAGGGACCCACTGCGCACCAAAACTCAACCCGCCACGGGAGCTTCCCAACGCCACCAAGGAAACTTATTTAAGAAATGGGGGCGAAAGCCCGAAAGGACACCAGGGCAGGAGGAGAGAGCGGAGATGCAAAAGAGATGGTGTAGCAGCCTTGCACGCTGCCATCACCTCAGCCTGTCCTAAGGGGGCAGGGCAGGATGTTTTTAATTGCAAATAAATTAGCTTGAATGGAACTTCCCCACTTTTAACACATAAAACGCAGGAAGAAGCCCAACTTGACCCATGGCGTGGGTTCATCCCATCTGCCACAGAAGGAGAGACACGTTTTCTAGGGCCATGCTGAACGGACATCAACTTTTGAAGTACGGTCCGGTCCAGCTGAATAAATACCACGGAAAGTCAATAGCCAAATCCTTTCAACAGCACCGCTCTGGGAACCTGATTGGAATTTGAACATTTGCATTGATTTATATTTTTTTTTTCCCGACGTTACCAGCTGGGCGCAAGCACTAGAGAGGAGGTACACGAATGGCTCCACAAGAACACGAATGGCTAGCCAAGGATTACCTTTTAAAGGATTATCTTTTAAACAAAGAAAAATTTGGTATACTGCAAACAACTAACTCAAATCAAAAGAAACCGATTAATCCAACAGGATTACCAGGTAAGGCTTCCCTTTACTTTAATGTCCAGACACACAGCTGAGAAACTTGAAGTTTTATTTAGACACCCGGGTGCTGTTGTCAAGCTCCTCTTCACGGTCCATGAATAAGGGCCGCCTATAGACTTAAGGCTGTTAAAACAAAAGCTTTGGCGACTTATCCTCAAGCTTCACAAGCAGCAGTGATCTTCTGTCTTTTTACAGAGCCCTCTCCTTTACCCTTGCATATGTAAGCTCTGATCATCAAGTCCTTTTAACTCCAGCCAGGAAGGAAGATTAGTCGCTGCCTGTACCACTCCTGCACTGTGAAATTTCCAGAACTGAGCTCTTTTACTTCCCTCTGGGAGGCAGGGGACGTCACAGAAAACGGAGATCAAGCTCTTCATGGGGTTTGTTTCCTGAATTGTTAACACTCATGTAAGCTTTTACGGCCACAGTACTACAGTATTACGAAAAGCAAAATAGCATCAATCTGCTAAAATAAAGCAGCATACATATATTTGGAAACAAAACACACTATATGCACTTGAGTATCTCTGTCTTACTAGTACACATGTTGGTAGCATCCCTTACATGCACCAAAGACTTATACTGAAATCTACTTGAGTATTCTGGCAAACAGAATGGGGCAAGCAACCGAGTCTAAAAAAATAAATAAATAAATAAATAAAAAGATAAAGCCTCGTTAATTTACTAAAATGACTTTTTACTGTGTTTTAATTATTTAACATTTCTTTTAAAACTGTTTATTTAACATGCATTTAAGGTTCCCTCGAAGTAAATTTAAAATCCTAAATACATAAACACAACATAACATAAGGCAGTTCAGTCCCTTCATGTTTCAGCCAGCCTCATATACAGGTCAGCCCTAGCCTAATCCAGAAGGGATATCTGATTCAGCAGCAGCCACAAACACTGGCTCTTGATGATATGAAATGTTATTGACTTTGGTGGGTTTTCCTGTCTAATAATTTTACATATCCATCTTTTGAACTCATCACATGCCATTTTATAAACAACTAAACACTACACTTGTGTCAGCACATATTTCACACTTATTTAAGAATAAATACACCATTAAAAGCAAAGACTCACCTCCTCCACCTCCAAGAAGGCTGGAATTAGCTGCAAGAAAACCAAAAAGAGAATCATTAGCATTAAGCTTCATAAAAATAGATGGAACCAAAACAGAAGATATTCCACATGATATTTTTCACTGTTTCAGTAACTTTGCTACTCCACTTATCCAAAAACATTTATTGCAAAAACAGTTATTTCTGTAAATTGTAATTGCAGTCTTTACCCTTGCACTACTTTGCAATATCTTTGAACGTATAAGCTAATAAATAAAACAGTAATACAATTATCAAAGCTAAAGCGTTGAACAAGTTATGAAATTACAGTCTTGAATTTACAATTCTATAAACCATATTCCTTTTTGATTCCCAAATGAAGTAAAACTTTTTCATTTAGAGAAACTTAAATAGACTTTGATGCAACTTTTGATTAGCTCTCCTTGTTTTCTATTACATGGAACCTTTGAGGATGATGATGAGAAACCTTGGCCCCATTGATATCAAAGGGTGTTTTACCATTGTATGCAATTAAGTTCGGATTTCACTCAGTATGCTTAATTGCCTCTGTACTGTAACCATCCAGCTATCCATGCCAGAAATGGATAAATCACTTATGGAAAGCAATTTTCAGAGCATGGTGATACAAGATGGTCTTTCAAATTAAGCTAGCAGAATTGAAGCCATTCCAAACATTTTCCTTTCACAGCCTGGACAAAAACAGAAGGATAGTCTAGGCTCCTCAGCCTGCCTTGAGTAAAGTATTTACCCTTTAGATGTGTGGGAAACAAATCCCTGTCATATCGTAATATAGATAAAACACAGTACAAAAGCAAGAGTATGAGATGGATGCAGGTACTTCATATTGTTTGTCAATGAGTAAAGGAAAAGCAAGACATCAAACCATTCCCTGCTCCAAGACAAGGGTAGATAGCAAGATACACAGAATAAATTACATATTTTCCAGTATCCAAACTTCCTACTGTTACATGTTATTGTTTCTATGATTTCCCTCTGCTTCCTAAATAGGAGACCGCAAATAGCAAATTCCCTGTTGTTTCTTTCCATCACTTTCTTGAGACTTTCACAAAAAAATCAAGTTACCTTTGTCTTCCACAACTCTTTTTCAGATATCCTCCAAACACATTTGACTTAACATCCACTTTCAGCTCAAACATTTGCAGCCAGCTTTCCCTGACGCTGCAGTGAAACTGTCTGCATCAAAAAGATAGATTTTCCACCAAAGTAGCATACCCAAGATCTCTAATTTTGAAAGTAACATATACCATTAATACTATTATCTTACAGTGACTCAGGTAGCTCTACAGTATACAAAATGCAATGCTCTCTAAAGAAATAAATATGCAGCTTCATATTCAGCATAGCTGACAAGATAAAATAAAAATAAACTGCTAACTACAGGGACAGTTATCAGTCCTAGGACTAGTTGCTCCTACTTTTAGTTACTCCTAGTTGAGTGAGTGAATTGTTGAGACCAAGACCTAGAAGGATGTTTTCGTGCATCTTTCTGATCCAAATCTGGTACTAATACTATACAAGATTAGATGGAAGAAAATGGGGCAAATCATCTTTGTTTCTAAAACAAAGCTATCTGTAGCCATTTTCAAAGAAGTGCCTGACTTCCTTTTTGCTGTCTGAATTCCTTCTTCGGATGCAACTCTGTAAACCAGCTGAAAAATATCCACTATTCCTTTTGGTTCAGATTTCCGACACATCACTGAGGTGAACTGGCTCATGGAGAGATACACATGTGGCAGAACAGTGCAGCTAGGAAACAGAAGATGTGGCACCACAGTTTGGAGAAGACAGTGCAAATCATCCCTTTTGGCTGTCACATACTACTATATTAACTCAAGCTCCTTAACTTTCATGTACCTACATCCCATGGATCAACTGCATTGCTAGGACATCACTGTCACAGCTACTTTGCCTTTACAAAGCACAACAAGACTGCTTTAGACTCTTGGCTACCCGCTATAAAGTGCTGGCATGGAACAAATCCTGCCATATATAAATTGCCTTTGGAAAAGATATAATGATAGCAATAATAAATGTGTACAGGCATATTGCAAAGAGTGGCACTGAACTTCAGTCTTTCTATATTTACCTGCTCTTGCTCTCACTGAAATTCACGATTAAAGAAAGACACAAATTAAAAACAGCCCCATGTGTTTTTACAGCAGCTTCCAAAGGCTGTTACCTGTAACAGGTAACATCACCTTCCCAGCAGTAAAATGAGTTTATCCAAGATAAAAGTCAGCATACGTCATATCAGAAGAAAATAAAAGTAACAAAGTGTCATCTACTGTCATGAGAATGCTATTCAAGCTTATTCTTTTTGGCACTGTAGAATACACCTACAATTACCATTCTAGTTCTTGATTTAGTCAAATTCTAGGGTTTCAGTTATTACGTTTGAGAGACTTGAAATACACAGCTAAGACCTGTTATACCTCACTGTAACCAAAGTTTCCACTGCTAAAACCCTTTTTTTCTCTGACACCCAGCCAACATCCCCATTGCAAACTTTCTTTCAATGGCTTCTCAGAGAATTATGATTCTCTCATTAAGTTTTCCTGACAATGTTCATCTTTCCAATACTTTCTAAAACTTGTTAATAACATATACTATAAGTCAGCGTCACACACTTCTCTATAGAAACAGCAAAAACAGTTCAAATAGATTTTTGGCTGCAATGCATCTACCACAGCTATTGAAATTGCAGTAATAATTCATAGGCACTTATTTTTTTAAAAAGAATTATGCTTGCATACTAGAATGAAAATCAAACTATTTTCCTATGATGCCAGGAAAAAAAAAAAAACATGACTGAATTATATTCCCAGTATCCTTTCCAGAAAGATAATGTGTCACTCAAAAAGCAAGAACTATTTTCAGATTTTTCAGACTGTACCTGAAAGGTTCAATAAATTATATCTCTCTTTCCATCTTTGGGAAATCCTTACCATTAAAGAAGTAACTTGTCACCTAGCACCTAACTATTACTTTTTCCCAACCAGAGCTGAGGGTTTTCACCTGGATTCAGAGGGGAGGTTGGCACAGCCCCATGGCTGTCATCACACCATATGATGTTGGAGCAAGCAGGGCCTCTCTTCTCGGTCCCTCAGTGTTAATCTACAGCTGCATTTTGTCCATCAGTGCTCCCAGATGATCGGGTCCCACAAAGCACTTTGCCAGGGGCTCCTGCTGTAGAGGTTCAGCTGTGGGTAGGTCTGAGCAACCAGCAGTGGGACCCTGGGAGCTTTCAACCTCCCAACGTGATGCAGACCAAATTGCCCCCCAGCTTGCACCATGACGCTGTGTGCACGCACAGCTCCCCCCCCCCAACTCACTGCATGACCAGCCTTAGGTAGCACACGTTACAACATCTGTAGACAGCTAGTAAATCCATCTGGACTAACCTCTTGTCCTTATTTCTCTATTCCAGAGCTGCACAAGATTCTCAAGTCACAGGAGACTTGGGGTGGGAGGAAAGAGAAAGACTGAATTGCTACCAAGTTACCAAGGCAAAGAACCGTAAAAGAAAACAAACAAGCGTAAGAGGGGCTCATAAGAAATGTGAGGTAAAGCCTTCTTGCACCTCATTTCATTCCCCATGTTACCCTTTCAAGTCGACTTGCCCAACCTTTCTAAAATTGCCTCCTTACAAACTACAGCCTACAGTAGATCCCTGGGCATTAATTCTGAAAATCCACTCACAATGAAAACCTTTAAATACTATTTTAATATGTACTCATTTATACTAAGAGGAGTGATGACACAGAGTGGTCAGGCAGCCAGCAGAATATGTACCTCCTTGTCAGACTGAAATATAACAGACATTGAAAAAGCCCCATCCAAAACAACTCACTTGGCAATGGCGCGCAAAAAGCAGCAGAGGTGAAAGCTCATCTAATATTAAATATTTTTGCCTGTACCAGTGACACAGGCTGCAATAAAAAAATAATAGTAATTAAAAAAAAAAAAAAAAGTTGTATTTGGGACCAGTTGCTCTGATGTATTTTAAATAGCAGCTCCAGGATAAGACAAACCATAGCACAGGAGACGCTACGCGTTGCCACTGCTTTAAAAGGGGTCTTGAGCTCTGCATGTTGAGAGACAGATCTCACCTTCACAGTCTGCCTCAGTACAGCAAACAGAAATATATCTAGAAGATATATTTATATATATATAGATATATCTAGATATATCTAGTAAGATGGCTCTCGGCCCTTTAGTTCTAGATTTCTTTTTATTACATTAGAAGCATTAGCAGTAAAAAGTGTTTCTACAAAGTTCAGGCTCATATCTAAGAAAAAATCCACCCTAAAAAAAAAATCCACTTAAAAGAAAAAACAGTCTCTAATCACCGAGTATAATGATTTAGCCCTTAATGAGATGTTTATGACCCCAGATTCAACCAGAAATTCCGTATTTCAAATGACTTGGCACCTCAGAGGACTAGACTTTTATGCTTTTTAAATAGAGTAGCAGCACCAAGACAGCGCTACTAAACAAACTCCATGAATGTTGATCTGGTCTACCCAGAAAATCCCACTCTTGCTCTAAGAAACAAAATTCCTTCCAAAACACTTCTGTGGGGAGAGAGGAAAAAGGCAAATAAAAGAAAAGAAAAAGAAAAGACCTGGAAGGGAAGAATTTAAAGTAAGCTTAGTTTCTCATTATGGAATACCCACAATGAAATCTCACGTTGCTAAAATGTACAAATTTGAATAATGAATATACCAGCATATTTGACAAATAAGAACTGGACATGAATGTTTTAAATCTCAGCCTTCTTAATGAGTTAAGTCATATAGCTTTCCAACACTTTTCTGACTGAATAAGCAGACCAGAAACTCTGGCACAGGTCTTAACATTTTCCTCGGTGTTCTCTTTACAACAACGTCCTTGCCAAGAAGTAGGATTATTTGAAATTTTGTGGTAAGCAAATGAATGCTGAAGAAGTTCACCTCAAATGAAACTGAGAATCTTTCTGCGCTGTAAGCCAAAAAGTATAAGAAGTGAAAA